CATAAATCTTTTTGGTCTGTTTCTAGCAACTTTCATATCCTTTCTTTGTATTCCATTAATTTATTCTGTTGAATGATTAATGTTTTCTTCTAATAAAACTTATTCTTTCTCATTCTACTTGTGCTCTAATTTCTTTCACTTCCTTATTTTTCCTTCATATCCATTTTTCCCTAGATCAACTCATGATATTACCAAATAAGTCTATTCCACATTCAGAAAAGTTTCACCACTGGTGTATCTTCACTTGTTTTCAGACTTTCAGTATAAACAACCAAATCAACCAAACGTTTAGCATGGATCATCTTTTGCTTAAATCACATATTTGACACATTTTTCTAAACAGATGCCAAGCAAACACTATTCTCATTTATTCTCAAAAAGGCACAATTATTTTTCTCTATTGTCTCACCTCATTCCCATCTGTTGTTCATTTCATGTAACAGTAAATATTTTCCCTCTGAATTCCATCCATTTAGAATGTTGTACAATTTCTCCCCAAAACCATTCCAGGTTGTTCTATTATCATAGTCACTGAACTGTAACATGCAATTATAACCAAACTATGACTTCATGCTTTCATATGCACTTAGAACAATCATATCTATTATATCCTTCTCTGCATTTTTCAAACACCAAGTGTATCCATTTTTCTTCCTTTTCTTTCATTAGTAAATTAATATTGTTTGCCATATATTCTTCTAATTTTATAAGTCAAAAACTACCACATGCCATACTTATCACCACATGGGCTACTTAGAATTAACTTTCATTTCCCATAAATGGTTTTGATCAATCAGAGGTTTCAAATAAAGTTTTTTTTAGCAAGATGAATAGACTGGGTTAGAGCCTTAGTTATGTTACATACAGCATCCCCTGTTAATAGTAAGAACAATTTTGGCAAATTTGGAGCGTACAGCACAGAAGCAGACAAAGCCAGTTTATCTCAACATGTGCCCATGATATTGTACACAAATTAGGATCTCTAAAGCAGTGTTTCTCAACCTTGTCAACTTGAAGATGTCTGGACTTCAACTCCCAGAATCCCCCAGCCAGCATTCGCTGGCTGGGGAATTCTGGGAGTTGAAGTCCAAACATCTTCAAGTTGACAAGGTTGAGAAACACTGCTCTAAAGTATGCTGCAATCCAATAAGCCATTGCTGCATCCAGCCAACTAGGAAGTACATACCGTGTATCTATACACACATACAGAAAGATAAATGGGAGGACAAGAATCAGGAACAGATTTGTGTGTGAATTGATTTTTAGAGTGCATATGCTTGGACTGAATTAGTGTCCAGCAGCTCCTTCATTTTAACATTTGGCCTCCCATATAAGCTACTATTTTGCATCTACTATGACTGTGGATCCTAGGATATATTTTTTTTTAATTAATGGACACCCAAAATTTTCTGTGTTGCCCCAGCTGAGTATTTCAGCTTCAGTGCTGAAATCAGGAAAATACTAACAATATACAGGTAGTCCTCGACTTGCAACAGTTCGCTTAGTGACCATTCAAAGTTAGAATGGCACTGAAACAAGTGACTTATGACCATTTGTTACACTTACAATCACTGCAACATCCTAATGGTGATATGGCAATTGCTTGGCAATTGACTCATATGTATGAAGGTTGCAGTGTCCCAGGGTCAAGTCATCACTTTTGACAAACAAAGTCAATGGGGAAGCCAGATTCACTTGACAACCAGGTTACTAACTTATCAACTGCGGTGATTCATTTAAAAACTGTGGCAAGAACTGTTGCAAAATGGAGCAGAACTCACTTAATAACTGTCTCACTCAGCAACAGAAATGTTGGGCTCAAATATGGTCATAGGTTGAGGACTACCTATAGTGATTTTCCATCTAAGTTCAGTGTGTAAATTATGTACCAGCCATACAATGGTCCAGTGCATAAAGCCAACTTCTTCAATCTGTTGCCCTCCAAATCTGTTAGACTTCAACTCCCATACTCCCCAGGTAGCATAATTCTCAGTTATGCTGAGTAGAGATTGTAGGAGCTAAAATTAGGAATACAGAACAGCAACAGGTGGGGTAAGGCAGCCTAGAGAGAAGAGGCTTTGGAAAAGTATCTTAGTCTTTGAAAAGAACTACAAGCTTGTAATATCCTGTATTTTCTAAGGACAGATAAACTCTATCTGAGATTATTCAGAAGGCACAGGCTGTAAAAGACCGAACAGTTATGGAATTCTAAAATTTTAGAACATTGTCTAATATCATGTTAGTCTACCTGAACAATAGTTCAAAATACAAGTCAGAACATATAATCCACTTCTATTTTATGTGTAGCAGGAAAGTGGAGGAAGAAGAGACAACTATGAAAAAGGCAAAAAGAAATGTTGAAAAGCATTTTAGCCAACCAGAAAGTAAATACTAAATATTTTATGGGCACATTTTTTTTTCTTTAAATTCTTAAACAGGCTTGGAATCTTTTCTTGCTGATTCATTCCCTTTCACAATCTCCTGTGTTTATCATTCTAAATTTATTCTTATTTCTTTTCTTGTCTGCATGCACAATTAAAATGGTTCTTTACATGAAGTGGATTACACATTTCATACCATAAATACATGGCGGAACTGTTAAGTTTTTAAGTGCTAAAAAAATCCATGACAATAAATTTCTTTTTTCAATCTCAGAAGCAGCGATGGTAATGTTAATGATAGTGAGGTCTTCACATACTAACACCCCCCCCCCATTTTTATGAATACAAATATATGCACAAAATGGGAAACTTAGGTCAAGTTTGCTGTATGTATCAAGCTACAGACTATGTACATTTATAACACCTGGTATCTTCGTAAGAGTTGAAAAAATAAGTGGAAAATGAAAGAAGTTTAGAATCACTCGATAATCATAAGGTTCCTTCCTTCCCACTACCAAATTTGGATTCTATCAAGCCCTGACCTTGCAGAAAGCTAAACTGACTTAATACTTGCTGCCTCACCTGGCAAACTCCCCTTGCCCCAGCCATGATGTGAGAAATGGGGATTGTTTTATTTATGCCATACAGGGGACACTACAGGGAAATATTGAAGGATTCCTCCACAATTATGTGTCTTTTTTCCTGCATAACATTTACCTCAAGGGAATGGGCTGGGAGTTGGGCAGGAGACAAATTTTGACAGATGGCTAAGATGGCATGATTCGCCATCTCTCAGTCCTCCCTCTAGTTTCGCTGCTCCAGTGTTTTGCAGGGGTGTGTTGTCCAAAAGGAACCCAACTATCAGCTGATCTCATGAGCTTAGCACTTTCCCTGAAAATGAGATTAAAATTCTTTTAGAAAACACAGGTTAGTATTTTTCCAGTAGGACATTAACATCAACTGCTAATCAAACTCCTTTCAGAAATGAGGTCATTCTTATTCCAGGAGTGTATTAAATCAATGTTCAAAAGCAACATCTGACAGGCACCAGGAAGGTTATGCTATGAACCAGCAGAGTTAAGGCCATTTATTTCTCTCTCTTCTCCTCCCCAAGTCCACCATGCGTATCCCTCCTACCATTACTACTGTTCGGCTCTTAAGTCTCTAAAGCAGGGATCACCTTGGAGGCTTGCTGATATATGGGCAGGACCTGGCTTGAAATTACTACCTCTGTGGAATTAAAGTGGGAGGGAGAAGCATGCCCAGGCTATAGTGGTCAATGAGTGGAAGGATCACCTGACTGTACTAGGAGTAGGAGTTTTACTGAATTATATTCACTGGGAAACTGATTTGGTGTAAAAGGGAAAAGTCTGCTTTAACATTGGTACTAACATGCATGGCTTAACGTAGCCCCTTTTCTAGTCTTGGATTTAAAAAAAATCAACATCATGAAGACATTCAGGAAAGAAAGAGGTTGCCAGGTCATGTCTAGTCTAATGAATATTATGAATAATATCTGTCTATGTCTGGTCATACAAAGAGAAGGACTAGGGGTGACACGCTAGTAGGGTTCCAATATTCAAGGAGCGGGGTTCCAATATTCCAGCCACAGAGAGGAGGGGACCAAGCTTTTCTCCAAAGCATCTGAGGGCAGGATAAGAAGTAACAAGAAGTAACGAAAGCTTATCAAACAGAGATCCAACCTAGAATCAAGGAGAAGCTTCCTGAGAGTGAGACATCAACTGATAATCAAACTCCTTTCAGAAATGAGGTCATTCTTATTCCAGGAGTGTATTAAATTAATGTGGAATGGCTTGCCTTCAGAAATTGTGGATGCTCCATCACTGGAGGTTTTTAAGAAGAGATTAGAAGCCACTTGTCTGGAACTGTCTCATGCTTGAGCAAGGGGTTGGACTAGAAGACCTCCAAAAGTCCCTTCCAACTTTGTTATACTGTTACTTACATATTTCTGCTGCAAAGGAGGAAAGGCCCATGATAGTGCCTAAGGATTTGGAAGTATTGGTGTAGATAACATCTAACATTCATCCCTTTTCCCCCCTTTTTCTTGGTTTTAGTGAAGAATATGAGACTCCTTTACACCTGTGGAAAAACTGTTGCCTCTAGCTATGGAAACTAGTTTCTGGTA